AATGGGGATGATGACAGGGTATGAAAATTAAAAATATAATTAGTCCGTAACTTAGGTAATAAAAAAATATTAGACACGTATTTTTTTATTTTGTTGTATAATAAAACAATACTTAGATAAAACGAATCAAAGTTTAGGAGTGGGGGCTAAAACGTCATTTCTTAGTATAAAATGTACTGAGAAGTGACGTCACGCGACATTTCAAATCAATATATCTTCGAAACTATTCGTTTCCGTAAGAAAATAAAAAATACGTGTCTAATGTTTTTAAATAATCTACCAGACGGACATTAAAATAAAAATTAGTCGTCTACCCCATTGTAATCATTTATACTTGTCTAAACAATATCATTAATGGGTTTTTGAGATTATAAAATACTAGCTTTTACCCGCGGCTTCACTCGCGTCACAAAAGGATAGAAAGTAGCCTATTTGACATATGCCAATACACGCAGCACCATCTATACCAATACTTTTGTTTTCCCTCGGGAATATCAATTTTTTCCGGGATTAAAAAAAACACTATTATTTAATCCAGATTTCTAACGTTACGTCTGCAGACGGTTTAGTAGTTACAGTGTGAAAGCGGAACAAACAAACAAACTCACTTTCCAATTTATAATATTAGTAAGGATCTACAGTATAAATCTAAATATCATTTCATACAAGTTGATGAATTAAAAATTATTACATTTATTACTACCTTACCTTGTCCATATCAATGTGGAAGTTGCGCAGATTTGGATCAATCCAATACATTATTTCATAAACAGTAGAATAACTTTGAAATAATAGAAACAACAGTGCCAGTAAGTACAGAACTGATGTGCCAAATACAATTCTCCAGACGGCTGGATGTGGTCGTGTGAATGGTCCATTAGGGAATGTTAGAACAGATACTATGAGGAAAAAGAAAACGACACAGCATATTCCTGACCATATATTGTCTTGAATGCTGGATTCATCTCTGAAAGTATAAGAAAACTGTTCTCAATTACAGATAATAAATGAATTATTAGAACATGTTTCTCAAGACATATTCTTAAGTTATAGAGTCAGTGCAGCATTTATTGCAATTGTATTTGCAATTCAATCTAGTGGTTAACATTATTATCTCCAGTTCACACTGAACTAGATTTATGTTCCCACTGTAATCACATCACATCATATTATGAATCATATTCATTCTTACTCTATTACTTCTGAGTCAACCACATAGATTTTCTTTAACCCAAAAAATGCACTGCCAAGTTTTCTTTGATTCAACACAATTTTGAGGTGCGTAAACAAAGCTTTTAAAGTACAATTAACAAATAAATTAATTTAGAAATCACAAGTTTTGATATCACAAGTGAGTGGTTACATCACTAAATTATCGTAATAGTTGAATTAAAAAGTAATGCGAAAAAACTGTGATATACCTTACAAACGCTGTGTATATTACTGATGCAATAGATACTGCCAGCAAAGTAATCGTATGCGGTTTGTAAAAAAATTCTAAGGAAATATCATCTACCGGTCTTTCATTTATAGAACTGAAAGCAGCCGTGTAGTCATTACTTAGCATGGTGCTGCTACCAGACATTGTCCTTTCTTTCGTATCTTTCATTTTTGAGGTATTTTTCTGGAATTACTTAACTATGAAATGTGTCACCCGGTAAAAAATCACATCATGATTGAAAAAGAGCGAATCGTCACAATTACATAGGCATCACATTGAAAATAGAATGATGAAAGATCATGAAAGATCTATTTGAATGTCAAAATTGAAAACATTTTTTTAATTATTTGTCTAATGTCAAACCAAACTTGTAATAAGGCTAAAATCATAGAGTAAAAAAATCAATGCATCAATCATAGAGTAAAAAAATACCGTGCCGAAGACACGCGACACGACACATCACGAGAGGTGGGTGTTTCTTTCATTTTGGCGATGCAAATTATGCAAGATTCTAACTAACTATTGTATAGTTTGTAACTAACGCCTAGTGTCTAAAAAGTGTCTAAATTGTGAAGCTGTCTAAAAACACAGATTACTACATCCCCTATACTTATTATACTCTTTGGATTACTATACTAGTCAGAGGTCTAAAAACGACACTGACAGTTATCGTGTATAATTTACGTCACAGAATTTATTTATCTTATCATAAGATTATAATAGTATAAGAATAAGATAAGATAAGATTCTTATGCCCGTATACTGAAACGTTACTCAATTTTAAGTCACGCTTAAGTATAGTTCTGTCACCACTAATTCTTTGGAAAATGACAGAGATGGCACTATATTTAAGTACAACTTAAAATTGAGTAACGTTTCAGTATTCCGGCATTTATATGGCTATAGGCTATAAAACATCACGCTGCGACCAATAGAAGCTGAGCAGAGCGTGTGAAACAGAGCGGAAGTAGCTATTAAATATAAATCAGTTTTATATGTAGTTTCTTAACATAAAATAACATAACACCGCGCCTTTTTTTATCTCCGAAGGGCAGAGGTGCACATTATGCCAGTGTACAGTCGCAGAGAACCTAACGGGTTACCGGGCTCCAGCTCGACGTGCAGGTGAAGGAACGGGGTGGTTTTCAGTCAGTAAGAGTCTGACACTCCCTCCCGCCTCACCCAAGCGGGAGGAGTCATTGGATGATTTCCCCCCTTAAAAAAAATGCCACTGTACAATGCAACACTCACTTTTTCACTATATATGTTTTGAGTTCCATGTAATAAGGGGTGAGCCTATTGCCATATACCGGGCACAATTCCAGACTCCGTGCTACTACTGAGATTTTTTTTAAAACCCAATAATACTTCGCCTGACCCGGGAATCGAACCCGAGACCCCTTGTCCGGTAGTAGCACATGCGACCACTCGGCAAACTTCGCTATAATGTTTATTTATATTGAGAATACGTCAATATTCTACATTTTAAAGATTTAAATTTTTTAATCACTGCATCACTCAGTCAGTTTTGGCACAGTCTAAAATTATACTTGTATTATTTTTATATTTTCGGAATGATTTAGGTAAGTTACTACGTACCTTTCCGGTATCAGGCCGAGGAATAACAACTTTGAGTACTCTACTCAGAATGGGGCACATATTGTGAAAATAATAAGAACATTACTGCCTACTTATACTAAACCTAACACCAATGACTCTAAATGAAATATTTTGTTTAATTTTTACCATTGTCAAAATAACTATTCTTTTCTTTTCTCACAGATTTCTCACAGATAACATTTTCTTGTTTGTTGGAGCATTTAAGGCCAACTCACTAACACAAGTCATCAATGTTTCTTTAGGTTCACTTGAATAAATACCCGTTAAAGTAAATACATATATAACTGCCGCGTAAATCTGAGAGGATTAATTGCTTTACAGCTGATCTTTTCTCTTTCCATACAGGAAGAATTTGATTCATAAATTTTATCTTTTGGAAATAAATGAAAACTTATTCCTCTAATCTCCGTAAGTATTACATTGAGGAACGCAACAATATTTTGTGTTTCTGGTTTTATTTAAAAGAGTTTTCTGTTTGTAATCGTGATCCATTTCATTATGTTGAAGTATTTAACTGCCTACAGAAAACTGTTGAGGGTAAATCCTCCGCTATCGTGACCCAACCTTTGTCCTCTATGGCGTTCAAGGTGTTAAACTTATTAACCTTAACTCTCGAAAGCAGTGTCGATCATAAACAACTTTTAAATTTTGCCGCTAGAGGCGCGCGGATTTGCATCGCCATAGAATTACCCACAAAAAAAAGACGCATACCTATACTGCCTTTCGTCGGTGCGCTTGCCAAAACTGTTATGTGCATTTAGTCAAGTTTTCAGGGGGAGACAATAAACTATTTTTACACTTGCACTGAAAGGTTGATGGACTTAGCAATAAATTAAAAATGCAGTTTGATGGCAAAAATTATGATAAAAATAACTGAGATAAAAGTGAAAATGATAACATCTACTAGTTCATCCCCAAAAATTTTATTTTCCATTTTGGTGCACATATCAGATTTATCTTAGAAAACGGTAAAAATTTTAAACAAAAACTGTTGATATTCAATCTGCCAAACTATCTATGTGATGCTGCTACTTCTGACATGTGCGTTTTATGTCACATAACCGTAACCAATCGAACACATAACCAATTTGTCATGGCCAGAAAGTGCACATATAAGATTGGTCAAATCGGTTTCTAGAGGGAAATAACACATAATTGTTTTTGTAATCGATGCGCTATCCGATTTGAAGGACATATAGCTAAGAAAAAAAAAACTAAATATTTGCACATATCAGTTTTGGCAGGCGCACCGACGCTTTACAGTATTTTGTAATGGCGGATTCGCGATGTGATTAAATTTAAGTGACAAAGAAATATAAGTGACAAATACCTACCGACATTTTTATTTTTGTTTTTTACAATTACATTTACAATTACTTTTGTTTAAGATTTTTATTAGTTTTAATTGACTTCTATTATATTAGCTTGCAGCATGTACACTTGAATAACTTCAAAACACAGATATTTATATATCTTAAGTACTTACCTATATTCCGAACAAAACAATAAATATTAAAAAAAAAATTGTTAAGCAAAATGTAATTTATATTAAGCTAGTGACACCCCTAAAATTTCCAACGCCTGAAAAAGGCCGTTAAGCTGTGCCTGTTATTTCATAAGACCTGTAATGACTGTATTACCTTAACATGCAAATAAAGAGTTTGAGTTTATTTTGATAAAATATGCAGTATTTACTGATCTAATATTGCAACTAGCTGTTTACGACTTTTGGTGGGAGATACAATTACCCAATAACCTATCTCTAAGTTTTCCTTTTCAACATACCAACAGCACGAAGGAGATAATTTTTTGGCAGTTTTCTGAATGTGCGCCAACGAAAAAAACGTACGTATTGTTAGACATAGTCATTGGGAGCAATAATTGACTTACTTGACTTATAGTCCTATGTCCCCTAGATGGGGCAGAGGGTGTCCACAGAGGTTCTCCATCTCGATCGGTCTTGAGCTTCTCGCTTCACCTCGTTCCACGTCATTCCGATGCTCGCCGCTTCTGCTATCACAGTACGACGCCAGGTTTGCCGAGGGCAGCCACGCTTCCTTTTTCCCTGGGGATTCCAATCCAGCGCTTGCTTGGAAACATGGTCGGGATCCCTTCGAAGCGTATGGCCTATCCATCCCCACTTGCTACGTTTGATCTGACGGTCGTTCGGAGTTTCGCGGCATCTCCAATGGGTCTACATTGGAGATGGTCTCGGGCCAGAAAATACCGAGAATGCGACGTAAGCATCGGTTGACGAAAACTTAGATTTAGCGGGAGATGTCTTTCGTGACCTTCCACGTCTCGCACCCGTACAGCAGTACGGATTTGACATTGGACCCGAAGATTCTGACCTTAATTCTTCGGGTCAGTTTCGGTGACTGCTACACAGGACTCAGCTGCGCGTAAGTAGCTCGGGCTTTGGCAATCCGTGAGGCGATGTCCTCCTCACTCCCTCCAGTTTCTGACACGATGCTCCCGAGGTAAGTAAACTTGTGGACGCGTTCCACTGCCTCAGTGCCAATCAGCAACGGTGAATTATTCTTCACACCCGATCTCATATCTTTGGTCTTCCGAGTGTTGATTTGAGGCCTGTTTTTGCCGCTTCTTGACGCAGATCGTCCAACTTTGCTTGCATGTCGGCGTGGGTATGACTAAGCAGACAAAGATCGTCGGCATAGTCCAAGTCTTCTAGGACGTTGGATAATCCCCATTCTATCCCGCGGCGCCGATCTTCTGAAATGCGAAGTATAATTTCGTCAAGTACGACCAGGAATAGAAGCGGCGACAGGAGGCAGCCTTGACTCACACCCACATGCACTGTTATGTCATCCGATATCAACCCGTCATTGGTTACCCTACAGGAATATTTCCTATAAATGCTCTCCAATAAACGGAAAATCTTTGGCGGCACTCCGATGTTCAGTAGACGATACCAGATGCAAGACCACTTCAACGTATCAAAAGCTTTTTCGAAGTCAAGAAATGTGAGATAAATCTCACGTTGCCATTCTGATGCCTGTTCTAATATGATACGAAGAGTGTTGATCTGGTCCGTACATGAGCGGTTCCAGCGGAAACCAGCCTGCTCCCTGCGGAGCAGGCTTTTTGCCGTAATATTTATATCTAATATCTAAATATGTAAGAATAAAAGTTTATGAGAACTCTCATGTTCATTCCATTGAAAATTAGGCCATTTTCAAAAAGAGAATTACGTTATCTTGAAGTCGAATAATATTCAATGTTCTGTTCACACGTCAATCTTCTTCAATATGGTTGAAGCATATTGTTAATACTGATGCATGTTTTATACTCTCCTTGGCTATTTTTCCATCCACAAGTCCTTTGGGATTTCATTTTTAGGAAATCTAAAATCAAATTTAATCATCATTATGCGCAAATTAAATAAAGTATACGAAAACAAATAAAAATATTGTAGTTGTGCATTTTAGGACGTCACTCAACTCTCAAACATCCTCTATATCAATATTTTCATTTAATACAGTTAAATATACCGTAAATGTTCGTTAACCAGACGGCTATGTCAATATTATTGCTAATACTGCTATCGATAACTTTACAAAACGAAGATCAGCACTATGAATAAAATGTTTACTAGTTCAATTTATGTGATAACAGTCTTATGAAAGTATACATAATAGCAGAAAACCCGAATTAGAAGTGTTAATAAAGACTTATATCATAATTTACACAAAAAGCATACATAAATAACAAAGAAAATTAGAACTAACCTAAAACATGACAATCCTTCTCATTTTTACGTGAATTTGAATTACATCCCTTGATGCAACACTTGCTCATGATAGTTCAGTTCAGATTCATTTCACTTATTGGCAAAAAACTCCATTAAACTGTCAAACACCAAGCGGTCACCGGTGACCGCAACCTATTGTTCTATAATCAATACATAGTATAAAACAAAGTCGCTTTCGCTGTATGTCCGTATGTATGCTTAGATCTTTAAAACTACGCAACGGATTTTGATGCGGTTTTTTTTTAATAGTTAGAGTGATTCTTAAGGAAGGTTTGTATGTATAATACATGCATATTGCACCCGTGCGAAGCCGGGGCGGGTCGCTAGTTGTGTCTTTAATGACGGTACTCGTGCGGTACTCGACCAGTTAATATCGAAACTCTTCACTGTAACACCGAAAATATTTCCAAAAACCGTATTGTTGACAGGTGATCTACCAAAAACATAAGCGAAGTTTATCTCTCTTAAATGGCGGAATGGGCCTCAAGGCGGAGCTTGGTGACGTCATATTAAAAATGTTATCAGAAATTGAAGTTTAGGATTTATGCTTATCTCTTTTTACATATCAAATTTACAACGTGTAAGAATGAGACAGATATATTTTTGTTGGTGAGGTTCATATTTGCATGATATTTGTTTATCCAAAACTCTCTTCTTCTCCTGGGTTCCCCAATTTTCGAAAACAGTTTCTCTGATTTCATAAACGAGAAAATTAAAAATTTCTGTGACATTTCCGATAGACTTTCCAAAATTAATCTACATTGTGCCTTTACTTTAATTCGCTATTGTTGTTTCGGCCCAAAATTTATGTATTTTCTGCGTGCTTCCCCTCTGTGGAAGCATCCGCATATTCTGGACCAAATTGATCAAATTATCCGTGACACCTTAACTTCACTTTTGAATGCTTCTATGGACGATCGTGTTTGGCTACAAGCCACACTACCAATTCGTTTTGGTGGTCTAGGCGTCCGCAAAATTTCCAGTGTTAGTTTACCAGCGTTCATCTCTGACAGCACTAGTACCTACTTTAACAAAAAATATTTTAGCCGGTGTTGACGCTGAACCCGATATGCCGTGTCTGACCGACGCGATGAACGCCTGGACAGAAACATGTCCCAATACAGCCTTGCCTGTCAACCCTTCCTCCCAGAGACAATGGGACGAGCCGCTTTGCAGGTTGGTGCATAATAATCTAATTAATACCAGCACCAATCCTGCAGAGTGAGCTCGCCTATTGGCTGTGGGTGAGTGGGAATCAGGTCTCTGGCTTCAGGCACTTCCGTCACTCAATATTGGCACGATGTTGAATGACTCAACTTTTCGGCTTGCTGCTTGCTTGCGTGTAGGTGCACCCTGTGTTTCTCCGCATCGCTGTCAATGCGGTGAGATGGTCGACCACCTCGGCCACCACGGCCTATCGTGTAGCAGAAGCGCGGGTCGGATAGCCTGACACGCCAGCATTAACGACATCATCCGTCGAGCTCTTGTGATCTCCATTGTGCCAGCTGTTCTGGAACCAAAGAGTTTGGCACGCGACGATGGTAAGAGACCCGACGGTATGTCCATTATATTATATGCCCTGGAAGCTGAGAAAGTCTTTGGTGTGGGACGCAACCTGCGTCGACACCCTTGCACCTTCTCATCTTCCAGTAACGGCGAGTTGTGCTGGTTCGGCTGCTGCCTCTGCAGAAATCCTCAAGTGGCGCAAGTATAACAACCTTGCTGGTAGTTATATCTTTGAGCCTTTTGGGGTTGAGACGTTAGGTCCGTGGGGTCCGAGTGCGCTTAAATTGTTCAAAAACATTTCGAAACGCCTGGTCGACACATCTCGTGACCAGAGGGCTGGTCTTTTTCTCGGTCAGAGGTTAAGCATTGCATACAACGTGGCAATGCTGCCAGCCTTCTGGGTACTTTTCCCACTGACGTCGATGCGGACGAGTTTTTCGATGCCTTATAAATAGTTTATTTTTCCTATAATTAATTTTAATCTTAAGTTGTAACACATAACATCACGCCTTTTTATCCCCGAAGGGGTAGGCAGAGGTGCACATTACGGCACTTAATGCCACTGTACAATG